AAATTTTGTTTCAATCTAAAATGGCCATCACCATCAGAGATGAAGACATCAATTTATGCTATCGAATTGGAAAAAAATCGATGAAAAACCAAGAGGCATATTCATAAAACTACGTTCTCTTGATTTGAAACAAAATATTTACTCGAAGAAAAGACTCCTGAAAGGAACCGGTGTCGTAATAAGAGAGGACCTGACGAAAGCTAGAGTCCAGTTGCTAAACGATTCCATTGAAAAAATTGGCTTGAAGAACGTATGGACTGAAAATGGGAAAATCTACATAAATCTCAATAACAAAGTGTCCAGAATTAGAAACAAAATAGAACTTGCCAAAATTTCTATACAAGATAAATGTTAAAATATTTTTTTTGTTACGTATCGTAATAACTGCCCTTCCAAATAGTAACGTCTGAAATACAAATTTCATTTTCCTTTCCTTTTTTTCGATTATATCAATATTTAATTATTTTTTAGGATGCACAAAAACCAGTCTCTGATATATTTCAGATTATGATTGAATACCTAGAAGACTTAGATAACTGTGTTGAAGTTGACACCAAAATTCTGATTGATTTTCACGACTATAACCAGGTAAGTACAGGAAAATGCAAAAATGGCATAGGGGTGGCGCACTTCAATATCAGAGGTCTTCGTAAACATTATGATGAATTTTTAGCCTACATAGAAACGACTAAAACATTTCTAGACGTGATTGCCTATCTGAAACGAGAAAAATTGAAAACCTAGATGAATTCCAACTACAACAATTATAACCAGTCATTCTACAATATATGCGATGGAACAATAATATATGTAAAAAATAATATCAAAGTAAACCACAAAGTGATACAAATAAAGGATAATAATTTTCTTAGAATAGAGTTTTCTTCGAAATTTCTACCTAAAAATAAGAAAGTGGGTTTAACAGCAATATACCGCTCACTAGCAACAAATAAAAATGAATACATAGAAAATTTAGAAGTCTACCTAAATAGTCTGGAAAAAGAAGAATTAGAAATATACATAGAAGATATAAACATTGACATAGAAAAAAAAGATTCTTACGACACAAATAGCTACTTAAATCAATTGAATGCAAACGGTTTCATAACCTATATGAATAAACCCACCAGGGTCACAAAAGATTCCTCTTCCATAATAGATCATATATTTATAAGAACAACCCCTGAAATACACAAAATTATTGAAATTGAGTCAATTATATTCCAAACAGACATGACTGATCATTATATCCCTTTTATTTACATTTCAGCACCCCTTTGCACTGACACTATAGACTCAGAGAAACATCAACAAATTCATCACCTAAATCTACAAAAATTACAAGGACCGCCTGCCCGGTACTGACGATGCCCAATAGGCTGAAACAGCTGTCTACCGGTGGCTCTTAAATTGAAATCAATATGGGAATACGACACAATTAGTGGACATAACACTCCAAAAAGGGGGGCAAACCGCGGACGCGTGTTTCTGGCTATTGGCCTCATCAGCGCGGTGCAGCCAAGTGTAAAGATGGGCAACACTTGTTTGCCGAAAGCAGGAAACAACACATATGCACTGAGTCAACAACAGGAGCCAACCACACATTTGTGGTTCTAATTAGAAGACCTAGAATTCCCAGGCTACATCTAACATGACCACGTAGGCAGCTATAGCTACCTGCGTGACATCCGAGTCCAGGATATAAATACAAAGAAGATTTTATCGAGTGTGTATGATATACAAATCAAAAACGACACAATTAGTGGACATAACACTCCAAAAAGCACCGCGCTGATGAGGCCAATACCCAGAAACACGTGTCCGCGGTTCGACCCCCCTTTTTGGAGTGTTATGTCCACTAGTTGTGTCGTATTCCCATATTGATTTATATATATATGTTAAATCTGAAGTTTTCACAGATAGGACTATGCTGAACTGATTTTACCGGGTATTTGAGTTTTAGAGTTGGGAATTAGTTTTCTTCAACTCCTGGAGACGCCAATTTGTCCCCCTACATCGACCTACGAAGTTAAAACTTGTGCGACATGAGGATTAATGAGGTCTAAGTGAGATTCCTATCATGGGTAAAATATATATCTGTTTAAAAAAAATCTGTTTCTCCATCAACCAGCTGCCGCCTCCCTACGAACGACAACCCTCAGAAGTCGAAACTTGTGCAAGCTAAAGACTAAGTCTTACCTTTCAACATATGATTACTATCACGGATTGGACTAGCAAGTGAAAATAAATCCTCCAGCCTGCGGCTTGAACCACCGATTTACACAGCGGTCGATTGAGTGGAGGAAAGCACCCACCACATCAACCCGACCGGCTACCGACCACATAATTATGGGTTGACTGAGTAGAATGAACCACTCCTGCAATCAACCAGCTATCATCTGACATTACAATTTTCTTAGCCTCTCACACTAACTTTTTCAGAATATTGAGTAGTAAAATTTGATAAAATTCTTTCAGTTGTGGGTTGACTGCAGTATACAAGGTGTAACATTTAAAACATTTAAGGAGGTGATTCCTCATCGAAAAAAAGATAGGATCTTTCGTATAAAGAAATTTCATTGGAGCATCCCTTGTTAAGATACAGCCCCTTAAAGGAGGTACATGAAATTTGTATAACAATTTTTTTCACAAACACTAAAAAAGTTACAATATTGAAATTAACCTGACGTTTTGTACTACCAAAAAGACACTTAGCCAGAAATGTATTTGATTTACCCCATGGTTGTAAGGGGTGGAAAACGCAACCCCTAAAAGTTATTTCCAATGTAACTTTTTTGTCTTATTATTTGTTTACCATTTAAAAATTTATTTCCGATAGCCTGTTTCATTCTAAACAAAAAATATCTCTTGGATTTTTTGCCCAAAATAAACCAGTTCGCAGCAAAAAATTATTTTACGAAAACTACAGAGATACATCGTCATAAATGCGAAAATACGAAACTAATCTATCTAGTAGGTCGCTATTAGCGATAGTGACAATTAAATTGGTATGACGCTGTCGGTTTGTGAATTTTCGAAATTGAATTAATACTGATTGTGTGTTGTTGTTCTGTTCTCAACTTGTTACTTTAATAATTCACTTGTTATTAAAATGGCATACACAAATGAGGAAATGCCTGATATGCATTACGTTTACGGTCTGTCGCAGGGGAATGGGTTAGAAGCTTTTAGAAGATATGTTGAAATGTATCCTCAACGGCAGCATCCTTCACATAGAATATTCGCTCGACTTCATCAACGATTACGAGAATATGGTTCACTCGACAAAAGAACGCATGATTGTGGTCGCCATCGAGAAGTACGAACACCACAGCTTGAGGAAGCAGTACTTAATTTGATTGAAGAACAACCTACTACCAGTACTAGAAAGATTGCTTTCCAGCTGAATGTTGATCATATGACGGTATTTCGAATTTTAAAGGAACAACTCTTATACCCTTACCATCTGCAACGAGTACAGACACTGTTACCGCGAGACTTTCCGAACCGTCTTGAATTATGCATTTGGATGCTGGAAATAATTAGAAGAAATTGTGACTTTATGAAGGCGATAGAATTCACAGACAAATGTAGTTTTTTCTCAGGACAACATTACCAATGAACAATCTTTGAGTCTTAGGGGGCTGTAGAGTATCAATCATTCCTCAGAGCTGTAGGGGACTGTGTGGTATGGTAAGTTTGTTAGAAACTCAAGTTTCTAAATGCACAAAATAGATTAATTTTCATAATTACCACATATGGGCTGATGAAAACCCTCACGCTATTGTCGAAACTAACCATCAAGAACAGTTTTCTCCGAACGTGTGACTCGGAGTTATTGAGAATAATTTAATTGGGCCTCATTTTCTACCTCCTCGATTGAATGGTGAGGCATACGTTCAATTTTTAAGAGAAGTGCATCCAGTACTGCTGGAAGAAGTTCCTTTGGGCGTCAGAAGGGATACGTTTTTTATGCATAATGGGGCTCCCAACCATTTTAGTCAAGTAGCACGTCAGCATTTAACTGAAACATATGCAAATCAGTGGATAGGTCTAGGAGGACCACAGAACTGGCCCGCTCGATCCCCGGATCTCAATCCTCTCGATTTCTCTACTTGGAGCCATTTACAGCATTTGGTTTATCGTACTCCTGTTCGCGATGTAAAGGACTTAAGAAACCGCATCATTGATGCGTGCAGGGTAATCAGAGAGACTCCAGGAATATTTGAACCAATACGTGGCTCAATGCGCCGACGTCTAGACGCATGCGTAATGTCTGAAGGTAGACATATTGAACATTTACTATGATTTCTACATGTTGTGTGTTTTGTTATTAATAAATTAGTTTTGTGTATTACCCTTTGATCGTTTAATGCAGGTACTAACTACAAAAAAACAATAAATCCAGTTCGCATTTATGACGATGTATATCTGTAGTTGTTCGTAAAATAATTTTTTGCTGCGAACTGGTTTATTTTGGGCAAAAAACCCACGAGACATTTTTTGTTTAGAATGAAACAGGCTATCGGATATAAAGTTTAAAATAGTAAACAAATAATAAGACAAAAAGTTACATTGGAAATAAATTTTAGGGGTTGCGTTTTCCACCCCTTACAACCATGGGATAAACCAAAAAAATTATTGGCTAAGTGTCTTTTTAATAGTACAAAACGTCAGGTTAATTTCAATATTGTAACTTTTTCAGTGCTTGTGAGAAAAGTTGTTATACAAATTTTATATACCCCTTTTAAGGGGCTGTATCTTAGCAAGGGATGATCCAATGAAGTTTCTTTAAATGAAAGATCCTATCTTTTTTTCGATGAGGAATCACCTCCTTGAATGTTTTACACTTATTCAGTTCCACCCTGTATATGGCGGAGTGTTGAACATTGTAGAATTATATTGCTCGCATTCATAGACAGAGCTCTTTTCTGCACTGAGGTGAAAAACATCATTCAATTATTAGATACTTTTTTGAAACATGAGAATATCACACAAACTAGCTATCAAGTATTATTTATTAAAACCAGAATTCACAGAAAATTAAAATTTTAATTTAATTCAGGTTAGAATCAATTATGAAAACATATGAGACTAGTGTAAAAATGTCTTCCTTACCTTCCAATTCACAATACAGTTATTAAATCATAGAACAGAAATTAAGTTTATAATTTCATAACGAATAAAAAAAAACTACACTTTAAATTCCTAGATCTAAAACTTCTATTAGAAATCAATTACTGTCAAAAAAATAAAAAAAACAAATTTTTCTCAAACACATTCCAGGCATGCACAATTGAGCTGTTCAGAAGAACAACCTAGCGTCTATCATTCTTCCGTCAATCCGGGCCTTATCCAAGTTTTCTGAGGAATTAATTAAGGAAAAGATAATTCTCTAAAAATGATAATTTCTCGCATGTCCTAAATTGAACAGTTCTATATGACTTAACAAACAACAGGAAAATACATTAAAATACGTATGAGGATGTACCTAATTGGATACATTTTGTCAAGCTTCAAAAGTTGTGGAATTTTTGTATACAGAAATGTATTGTTCATATTAATTATATTGCCAGAAGAAAATATGGATATTAAAAAAAAATTGTCTTAAATGTTTTAAAATATCAAGTGAAACAAATGGATTCATTAAAGGATACTGATAGCTCTTTCTGCTTGCCAGTCTGATCCATAAGTAATGAGCACGCTTCCATGAGCTTTCTCTTCAAAACCATGAATATCTCCGAATTCAGTGAACTTTTCGTGGAGCATTTTGTAACTTGCAGTAGGCGGCAGCTAAAATAAATATGTATCAAATATTGAAACCCCCAAAAAAATTTAGAAAAATGTATATTTCACAATAGAAAACACTATAATTGATTCAGTAATCAGGATGATGATTCATCCAATATTGTCCCTCTTTATGAGAAGGTTGTATTTAAACTTCTAAATGCTGTTGAAAAAAAAATTCTGATCAAGGGTTCAATACCATTGTAGTCTACGTGCACTCAGCATTCAGCACATGACTAATGTATTTCAGATGAAACATTTTACATGTATTACAAGTAAACCATAGATGGCGTTGGGTGTAAAGAATTTAATTTGCTGATACAACTCAATATCATCACCCTCACTTATCAGTAAAATAAATTTACAAACTTACTATGCCTAGCGGTTCAACAGTTTATGATGTTTTTCAGGGCTTAAACTTTTAGTTAGAAAATCAGCAGGCATAATATCTGTAGGTAGGATATTCTAATTTCAAAATCGAATCAGAAATCAATTCCCTTACAGAATGATGACGTACATCTATATGCTTACTTCTGTTATAGACAGGATTGACTGATAAACTTATGGCACTTTGATTATAATAAACCTTTTTCCTGAAATACGAAAAATCACTCACTAGCAGCGCTAGTTCGGTAGGGACAAACACTGCCTAATGCTCATATAAACATATGGTAAAGTACAATTAAAAAAGAATGTTTTTAACAAAAGAAAATGTTTCTGGAGCAAAACTAAAATTTGCAACTGTAAATCTTATGTACAGGATAACAATGTTGTAACATTAAAACGTTGGCTTGCATGCCGTAATTTAAAAGTAACTGTAAAAAAAGTGAATTAATAGACAGGTTAATATACAGACTCTAGTAAAAGAGTAGCGGTAGATTCAAACTGTAATGAAAGAAATTTAAAATACTTATGAATTTCAGATTTATTTCCGAGTGAAATATGAATCAAATATAGATGGTAATGAAATAAATTGAATTGAATATAATAAATGAATATAATTTAATAAACGATTGGGGTTATATCTCATTCTAATCAATGGTAATTAATTAATTAATACCTCATTCTAATCAATGGTAATTAACTATGAAAAATTTACTATTCATTTCATGTTTAGAGCATACATATAACATTTATTTATTTTTTGCACTGTTAAATCCACTCTCCTCAAAGCATGTATCCATTTCTTACATCTAACCTCAGTAATATGAGGTTTTATAAATGGTATAAAAAACACGTTTTCTTCCGGATATCGATTACCCGACGTATAATTAGCAAAACAGCAATGCTTTGTTGGCATTATACTAGCACAAAATAATTTTCAACATCAGATTTATATTTTTAAATCATAAATTAATATTACGTAAATAACGCTGTTTTACATGTGAATAGTTTACGTTTGTCCCTACTACTAGTGCTGCCTCTCGTGATACGTTCGCTGTACTATGATCAGGAAAAAGGCTCATTGAATAAGGTAATACAAGATACATTTTCAGTCAATACTGCTAACAAACCTCTCAAGTATAGAGCTTTTTTTGCTCCTTCAGATATGGACATAATTCTGCTTCTATGCTTGGTAGAGCAACTGTTTTCTGCTTTATGCTTTGCCATGAGATGACAGAACCACAGAGTTTAAATGCATACCCAGTATAGGACTTACAATCTACAGTACTGCTAGCCCAATCGGCAATTCTGAATTACCTTCTGAAAATCTCAAACCATAATTCATAGCCTCTTTCAAATATTTTAAAAGCCGCTTAGCACTTTTCCAGTGACATTCATCATAGGAATTATTGAATTGACTTATAATACTAACATTAAAAGATATATCTGGTCTAGTAGAAACAGACAAATACATGAGGCTTCCAATTACCTTTTGGAAAGGAAATTGAGCTCTGATGTTTTCACTATCTTCTCCCTTTTTCAAATCCAACTTTAATTTCATAGGTGTCTTAATTCTTTTAGCATCAGACATGTTAAATTTCTTTAACAATTGAATGATCTTCAATTTGAAATCTAGAGCTTAATTCCTTTTTGATTCTACCAGTTTCTTTTTCATCATTGGAAAAAATGAAAAAATCGTGTACATATAGCGCAATGATTGTGAGCATATCATTTTTATTTTTTATGAAAATACAAGACTCATGCTTAGGTTTCTCATAATTTAACTTGCATAAAACATTATTTACATGGTCATTCCATGCTCGTGATGACTGTTTAAGGCCATATATGACTTTATTCAATTTTAAGCATTTATTTGCATCTGAACGAATAAAACCTTCTGGCATTTGCATATAAACACTTTCTTTAAAATGCCCATTAAGAAATGTTGTTTTAACATCTAAATGATGAATATCTAACCTTAATTTAACCGAAATTGAAAAAAGTAATCGTAAACTTTTTACAGGGGAAAAAGTATCTACATAATATATTCCTTTTTATTGGAGAATCCCTTATTTCACTATACCTTCATAATTGACTGTTCGTTTAAAAACCCACTTACACTTCACAACAGCTGCTGTACAATTTCTCAGCTTCCCAGCCTTCATTTTCTTTAAAGCTCTCCAATTCCTCTGGTATGGCTTATTTCCACATATCTGCATTTGCTCTGAGAAGCGCTTCTTCTACTGAGATTGAGTTATCCTTTTCTAAGCTTTCCATACACATATATGTGACAAAATCTTTGGGTTTTCGGTGTCTTTGTGATCTTCTAATTTCTGATGTTTACATTTCATATGTTTTGCATGTGTAATCTTCACTGGTGTCTTCACCCTTGAAATAACTATCTCCCACTTCGGAATTGCTAATGTCTTCATCATTATGGTGTACAGAATGTTCATTTTCTACTTAATCTGTCATTACTTTGCTTGTAGTGATTGCTACTTGTACTTCAGTTTCCTCCATAATCACCACATCTCTGCTTATGGTTACTTTGTTTGTTTCTGGGTCATACAGTCTTAACTCTTAGTACTTTCACCATATCCTACTAAAATAATTTTTCTTGATTTCTTATCCCATTTTAATGTTTGCTTTTGGGTTGTGCACCATTACCTTACTCCCAAAAATTCTCAAGTTACTAATGTCTGGTTTCTTATTAAACCATACTTCAAATTGGTGTTCTGTTCTCTAGTCCTGAGAATGTACTTCGGTTGCCCAAATAAATTGCACTGCCAACTGCTTCTGCCCAAAATCTTGTGTCAAGCTTCACATCAAATAATAAACATCTCTCTCTACAATGGTTCTGTTCGTATGTTCAGCAGAACCATTTTGTTTTGGGGTATGAGGATTTTATGTCTGATACAATATGCCTGCTTACTTCAAGAATTTTTCAAAATCTGCTCCACAGATCTCTCCACCATTATCACTTCTGAGAGTTTTTATCTTCTTTTCTGTTTGGTTTTCTACCAGACTTTTAAACTGTTTGAAGCATTCGAATACCTCAACTTTTGTTCCAAGAAAATAGACAAAAGCCATTTTGCTATACCCATCTTGGAAAGTTAGAAAATATCTAGCTTTCCTAGAGATATTAACCTCCATTGGACCGCATAGATCTGTATGCACAATTTCTAGGATTCTACTTGCTCGAAATCCTTTATATAGAAATTATTATTTAGTTTGCTTGCCTTTACAAGTCTCACAGTATTGTTTGTTCATGCTGATTTCTCTTTTGCATATCATTCCTTCAACTGCACCATTTGTCATTCTCTTCAGGTCCTTTACATTGATGTGACCTAGTCTTCGATGCCAAATTTCTCCTAACACAACAGTTCCTGCAGCTTGAAAGCACTGCTCTGCTCTTTCAGTGTCTATTTTGTACATATTATTGACCAATTTGGCTATTCCTATTGGCTCACCATTTTTGTTGAAAATTTGCAACCATCATTTTCTTGCTACATATAAAAGCCTTTGACCGACACTTGAATCCTTTCATTTTGCACAATTGTTGTTATGTTCAAGTTTTCGGTGCTTTCAATTGATACTTTTGATTTATCAGCAAGTACAATTTCTTGGGTTCTTGTGAATTTGCAGTTTCTGTTAACCAGTTCTTGTTTGAAGTTATGTGGGCACTAACTCCTGAATCCATATACTAATCCATTTTATTGAAATATTGTCCACCCAGAAAACAGAAAACACTTGCGTGATTTGAAGTTTTCTGATTGTTTCTGTTCCATTTTGCATCAGGACAATTACTTTTGTAATGTCCAACTTGTTTACAACGATAACAACGTATTTTTTGATAAATGATATGTTTGACGACTGACTTTAACATTTGTCACCACTGTTACCAATTTTGGAATATTTGTGACCATTTTGGTTACCATTAAACTTTCTGCTTCTCGTAGCTTTGCCGATAAAATCGGAACCTGCATTATCGTCCTGCATCTCCAGTAATTTGTATATCAGTATGTTCTATGGCCATTATCATGGGTGAAAATCTTTCTGGTAGTCCTGCCAAGAGTAAAGATCCTACCCATTCTTCATCTATTTTGAATCCGGTGCCACTCAGCCTTTGTGCCGTGTCAATAACATGATTTACATACGACGCCATGTTGTCCTTGTTTTCTAGCCTAGCCGAAATCAGGGATCGTAACAAAGCGATTTTTCTAGTGAAATCGGCATCACCGTACAAGTTTCTAAGTTTGGTCCAAAGTTCTTCTGCTGTCTTGATATCTTTGATATGAATATACAACGAAGTATCAATCGTGAGGATTAACTTTGATCTCACTTGAGTTGCTGTCCTCATCTGTTTCAGTTCCTTTGATCTACTTTTTCAATTGATCGAGTATCAGGAAATTTTCTGCTGCAAACGCCCATTCTGCATAGTTCTCGCGACCTTTTAGTTTAGGTACACTCGCGATATAACTATTTGGCATTGTTAAAAAAACAACACTCTGGGCTCATAATCTGTTACGCTGAGTGAAAATAAAATTAAGTGCGTTCTATTCAGCATTCAGCACATGACTTATTTATTCCAGATGAAACACTTTACATGCATTACAACTATCAAACAATAGATGGCGTTGGGTGTACAGAATTTAATTTGCTGATACAACTTAATATCAACAATAAATACTCGCAAACAAGTACTAAATCACACAAATTATTACCAATCAGGACAAATTATCTTGAAATATTCATGTATTTTGAGACATTTAAAAGTGGTTCAAAACTACACTGACAAAAAAAAAAGATAATTTGTGAATCAAATGAATTACTCATCGGCTTCGCCCACTAAATTCTCAATGTGACCCATTAATGATAAAACAAAAAATAAAATAAATTATGAACGACTCACATTTGATACCAAAACCTTTCGTGAAAAACTCTTGCTGTTTTCCTGCTGTCTATCCCCTGATCTCATGCCCATTGCAGAATTATTGCCTGAAAAGCCCATTCTGTCATTTCCAAAACTGTTCAAATTATTATTGCCCTGAAAGCCTCTACCAGAACCCAAGTTGGATGAGAAGCTTCCTCCAGTATTTTGGGACCCAAGGCTGTTATAAGTATTATCACCTCCTCCTCCTTGTCCCCTTCCAAAGTTACTGCCACTTCCCAAGTTCGAAGCTGAATTTTGAGCTGCAAGTGCAGCCAATTGCTGTTGTGTCGTCGAGTTTTGGGAAGCTAAGGGGTTCTGAACGAGTGACGACAAATCAGATCCCCCCAAACCGTTTCCCAAAAGGTTATTTGCCAATCCGGTCAAGTTAGCAGCTTGCAATACTTGTTGATTGGTCAAGTTGCCCAAAGCTCCAACATTACCTAGACCTACAAAAATTATGTGTTAGAGAGGACAATATAACGATAATATCTACCTGAGAGTGCACTGGCCAACTGCAATGGATTATTTGGTACAGCCCCCAAGAGCCCAGCACCTACAGGTCCTGCCGACTGAGCACTGCTGTTCAATGAAGGTAAATTGTGCACTACATTCTTCAATGGCTCTCCATTAGGACCTAAGCCCATACCAACTGACTTGAGACCATCAGGTAGTTTGAAAGATTCGTTAGCTCTGTCCATTCTGACTGTCATGGTGCGATCATTCAAGACTTGATTGTGGAACATGGAAATGGCTTGTACAGCTTCAACAGGATGATCAAATTCAACAACTGCAAAACCTCGACTTCTGCCGTCTTTATCACAAGGGATGTCAATATGGATAACTCTACCAGCCAGTCTGAATACATCTTTCAGCTTCTTCTTGTCTATATTATATTCCAGCTGCAAAATTATAAATAAATTAAACACATTATTCAATTCATATCAAAGGTTTGATACATTACCGTAGATACCATTTTGTCGACAAAACAGTAGAATGATATGTATAAGATTAGTTGTAAATATACAAAATTTCATAACCAACCCTCTTTTATGACAACTGATAAAAGAAAATAATCTGATGCCCCAAGTAATTGTGAATTCTTTCTTAATATCAACTGGAAGACGACATTCATTAAATGAATAGCACTCGAATTAGAAATGTTTTATCTAAAGCCTTATCCCAGGATCAAATGAGTTAATCAAATCAGCAGTGATTTGTTTTTTGTTTAAGTGGATTGGAAACATACACCTCAATCTAATTTTATCTACATATTGGATCATGAGACAAGGCAGTTCTTTCGATAATAAAAAAAGAAGACAAAGAAATGCATGTTCAAAAACACCTGTTTTCAATTGAAATAAAAAAATACTAACAATATTGCAAAAATTATTATATACTGGGTGTCCATAAGTAACCCGCCAATACATTCAAAAATACAATAATAATTCCATAAATGATTTCATGTAAAACATACTAGAGTTTTCAGTATAGTCCAGATTAAATGAAAATTGAAAATAATGGGTTAAAATGGGTTTTCCGATGGCCTGCTGTCGTCTCCATACAAACGATAACTCTCAATTGAAACTTATGCGAAACAAGAATAACAAGAATTCACCTTTGAAAGTGCCATTCCCAGCAAGGTAACATGATTCAAAACCAATCGACAGAAAGTAGTCGATTCATTTTCAGTTAAACATCAAGAACTGGTCACTCAAATCTAGTCTGAAGTAATTCTTTTAGAAAATCTCTATTTCAACAACGCTAAACAATTGAAAAAAATCCAGGAATTTCTGTTATTTATTTGAAAAAAAGAAAAATGAACTGCACAAACCTCAAACACCACTTCTCTTTCATATTTTGAAACCCTCAACAAATTTGCAATAGATCTCGACCAGAAATCAGTTAGTGACATTTAAAAAGCAACATTCAGGAGTAGCTCCATCAAAACCATAGAAATGTGGCATCAAATATCACCACCACCTTAACCACATCTGAAAATTTATTCAACACTTCTATATGGTTTTGGTTCACCCAGTATATATTGCCCATATAAACACAAGCCTCCTGTATTATAAAAGTAATGATCGTAACATAAGAAAAACAACCCATGTTAATATTCTTTCAAGATTTCGTTAAATTTCACTGATTTCAGAAAAAGGACTTTGAACGAGGGTTAGAAGTAAATGTTGATTTTAGTCCTAATTGAACAATCAGAAAAGAATTGAAGAAATTATTGCTTTCAATAACAAATTCATTATATTTCAAACAATACAAATGCAGATTTTGAAGGACTTTTTTTGAAAAAAGTAAAATTATAAAAAACTATAACTATAGAACCTTAAGCAATTCAACAGTCTCTGCAACTATTGTTTATATATCAATAGTCACAACTTGATGAATATACAGAAAACACTATTGTGAGTCTAACATTAGCTAAAGCAAGACAAGTTCAATAACATAACAGACAGTCGAGATCCTCCCAGCACTGAAAACCAAAACTAATTCAATACGATAAACGACTATGAAGTCTCAAACTTTTGTTCAGAGCTTTTATCAATTTGAAATTGGGTTGAAGGCCAAGAGTACCAATGTCCTTCAATTAATTTCTCAATTGGCAAATCTAAGAAATTGTCAAAACATGATGACAAAATTCAGTTGGGTTTATTCAAACATGAAACATTTATTCAGCATTCTTGGAAAACATTTCAGTATGACAGTAATTCCAAGATGAAGGCGGCAAGACTTTCAAAAGTAATTTTAAGGATGGGAGAATAACCATCGTACTCTTCTGTTGCCTGCCAATATCCAATAAATATCATTATTTCCAAACACAAGAGGCACATATTCCGTGATTCCTACCTAACAAAAAGACAAATAAAAATTATACTTACATTTGCCACAAACACCTTATTACAAAGAGGAGCATCGATATTCAATGATTCAAGAAAATGAGGACTCAAACCATATGTATTACCCCACTTGCCGTCGTCGTTTCTCAGTGACAAGTTACTACCGCCCATATCTCTATGATGATCATCTCGAAACCTATCGTTGTCTCTATTTCTCTTTGAGCCACCGCCTCCAATGATGGCTCCATGTTTATCCCTTACAACACCTGCATCATCCTTTATGACCAACTTGCGACTTTTCACTTCATAGCGTTGCATGATTTCCATGCATTTTTTTACAGAAGCTGAATCAGCAAATTCGATTATACCACTACCTTTAGGTTTGTCATTATCATCAACAAACAATTCAACAAACTGAACATCACCCACTTGGTTACGAAACAGATCTTTAATATCTTGCCAGCGATATTCATAAGGAATATTTGATACGTACACTCGATTTTGTGAAGATTTCATACTTCTGGGTTCTCTGCCACGATCATTACTGCGGTCTCTGCCGCTGTCATTGAAACGAGAGTTCCTTTCTCGTCTAGGCCGATCTCTATCCCTTGAACGGTCTTTGTCATCCATGTCGCTCATTCTAAAATAACACGCAAAACAGGACTTTCAGAATCAAACTGAATACTACTATGGGCATCATTATACAAAGTGTAAGGTCCAGATAATTTCAATGTATTGAATATGTATGGATCGAACAAAGTGTTGTGCCTAGGCACTTATTTATCTTCAAAATTTCAAAGCAGTCAACTTTTTTAGGACTTTCATTTAACCATTTCTAGTCTCAACCATCAGGTCTCCTTCAAGTAAATTTGAGAAACCTCAAGAACTTGCGCTAGCTGAAGGAATGCTAGCCTTATTACTATTCAACACTTTCGCTGTGGAGACAACCGGTGATAAACGTCTGCAATTTTTCATCATTTGGTAATAACCGAGAATTTTTTGTGTGATTTGAATCCCATATTATTATTAAGGTTAATATAATATAATCTAAGTTAGATATTTGTAGACAAATTAGAATACCATTCAAAATACTTGAAACAAAATAGTTCATCTATTGAAACATCTTTTGTTTTGATGTGGCAATGTTTTCAATAGTCCATTTTATGCTAGAAGTTCCAATTCTACCATTGGAAATAATTCAGCTTCTCATTGATGATGTGCTTGAATGCCAATTTTCAGTCGAGAAGGTATCAATTATACAGTGCATTTCTGCCCCCCCCCTTTTATTTTTTGAACGGGTCAACTCAAAACATTGAAATTTGGGATAATGAAATTAATTGCATGAATACTTAATTTTGAAGTGAAATTGACAAATGAAACCTTCGAAATGGCGACTGGGCGCCACCTTGAAAAAAAATTAAATGGAAAGGGCAGTCTTGTGACACATCATTTTGAAGCTCCTGACGAATACTTCACAACTCTAGAATATGACGTAAATATCTTCACCTACTACAAAATGGCGGAACATTTAATAATTTTCTGAAGACGAACACATTAAAATCGATATTTCTAAAAATATTCCTTTTTATCTGCCATATGGCAATTCCAACAACCCGATAAGGTTTATTAAGTTATTTTTTGTTATAAAAACGACAAAAAATGTCAGTACGACAATGAACATCATTGTTCAGTTGGAATATTCTCATTTAGTTTTTGGTTTTACTAGTAGAAAGGTATCACGTCAACAATATCTAAAATGGTCATGCGGTGCGACGCATAACGTTTTCCGAATCGTCCTATCTGTGGAAGATATTTGAGGGAACTATCCAAATTCCCAACTACCGGTAGTGTAGATAACAAAATGCCCGTCCATTCCGGAAGAACAGCAAGTGCAAATAATTGGTGGGATGGTAGTATATCCTGAACAGTCTACTTATTCCGTCGCGAATATTTGTGAGGTGTCTGCTTCTACTGTGTGGAGACTTTTGAAGAGGAATAGGTGCATCATCCATACAAAATTAAAATGGCACACCAATTAACTGAAGATGACCCTGATCGAAGAACAGAATTCTGCGAAATCATGACAGAAACTGTTGCAAGGCATCCTACCTATCTCCACAATATTTGTTTCAGTGACGAATGAAATTTTTTTTTACCGCAATGTTCACAGACAAAATTGCCGTTATTGGAGTGATACCAACCCTCACGTTTTCCGGGAAACACATACCCAATATCTAGAAAAAAATAACGTTTGGGCAGGAATATTGGATAAAAACTATATTCTAGGACCTCTATTTAATGATCAAAATTTAACCGAGGAACTGTATTTGAATATGTTGGAAACTACTTTTGACCCTCTCATCACTGAAATCTTTGAAGCGAATCCTAAGTGAATTCGATATGGATATTGAATTCCGACAAGACGGAGCACCACCACATTACACAGACAAGTAAGAAACTATTTGGATACTACTTTTCCCGGTCGTTGGAATGGCCGTCGAGGTCCTACAGAATGGCCAGCTCGCTCGCCAGACTTGACACCTTTGGACTTTTTTATGGGGCTATTTGAAGCAAAAGGTGTACGAAACTGAACCTGCTTCAATATCGGATATACGGTAGAGAATAATAAATATTTGTAGAGATATTCTCGGCGTGAAATATCGGATAAGCTGTTCATATGTCAAGAAGTTCCGAACTGACCTCAAGTTTATTACCTCATATTATGTAGTTAAATGTCAATGCATTCAGGCAATTATTAAAAGTTACGCTATTTTGTAGTAGTTGAAGATATTGACATTATATTCTAGGGTTGTAAAGCATTTATCAGGAGCTTCAAAAAGATGTGTCACAAGACCCCCCTTTCCATTTAATTTTTTTCCCAGATGGCGCCCAGCCGCCACTTTGAAAGTTTCATCTGTCAATTTCACTTCAAAATAAAGTATTCATGCATTAATTTCATTATCCCAAACTTCAATGTTTTGAGTTGGCCCGTTCAAAAAATAAAAGGGGGGGGACATTAAAGAAAAGCACAGTACACAACCAAAAATTATCGATTTTGATTACAGATATTTTTCATTGCATAAAACTTCTGAAATATAATTATAGACAGCTAATAATCGACACATTGCCTAATGTGGAAAATGGAAATCGACCATATTCAATGAGCCTTTTTCTTGAGAATAGTACAGCAAACGTCACAAGAGGCAGCACTAGTAGTAGGGACATGTAAAACAATGTTATTTACGTAATATTAATTTATGATTTGAAAATATAAAAAGTTATTTTGTCCTAGTATAATGCCAACAAAGCATTGCCGCTTTGGGAATTGTACGTCGGATAATAGATATCCGGAAGAAAACGTGTTTTTATACCATTTATAAAACCTCATATCAATGAGTTTAGATGTAACAAATGGATACATGCTTCGATGAGAGTGGATTTAACAGTGCAAAAAATAAATAAATATTCATATGTATGCTCTAAACATGAAATGAATAGTACATTTTTGTAGTTAATTACCATTGATTAGAATGAGATATAACCTCAATCGTTTATTAAATTATATTCATTTATTATATTTAATTAAATTTATTTCATTACCATCTATATTTGATTCATATTTCACTCGGAAATAAATCTGAAATTCATTATTATTTTAAATTTCTTTTATTACAGTTTGGATCTACCGCTACTCTTTTACTAGAGTTTGTATACTAACTTGTCTATCAATTCACTTTTTTTTCCAGTTACTTTTAAATTACGGCATGCAAGCCAACGTTTTAATGTTTTAACATTTTTATCCTGTATATAAGATTTACAGTTGCAAATTTTAGTTTTGCTGCAGGAACATCTTGTTAAAAACATTCTTTTTTAACTGCCTAATTCTCATATTCATATGAGAATTAGGCAGTTTTGTCCCTACCGAATTACTAGCGCTGCTAGTGAGTGATTTTTCGTACTTTAGGAAAAAGGCTCATAGGGATTAAATTGTGGCCAAGTTTTATATTCAATTGTAGACACCACTGAATTTTCTGATTGACTCGGCCGTTACTTGATTAATATCCATAGTAATTTCATAAACTACACCTTACGATTTGATCTCTACAAACTTTATTTGAGAAATATATCACGTTTCCCTAACACAGAAGCTACAACTTTACTGTTCAAAATGGGTTCCATGAAAAAGGACCTTGATGTATTTGGTTTGTCCGTTATTGATAGAGGAATATAACTGGAATTTACACCATGCACAACTCGAGACATTCCTTGTCGAGCCAATGTTCCGAGAGGCACACTACATCATAACTTAGATTATCTAAGACTTGTAACCTTTCTAGTTTATTTTTAAGATAACGAATGTTCAAATGAAATACACTCACAATGACGTTATAATTCTCATCACCATCACTGAACAAGTGTCCTCCATTAGTGGAAGGAGATTGAGTTTTTTCTACATTCTTCAGGTGGATTGTTAATGTTGAGGATCTAGCGTCGTGGATAGCATCCTCTTTTTGGCAAAAAAAAAGCCAGAGCTCCGTTTGGCCATACCTCTCGCCTTCATGCCTTATTCAACAGTTCTTTCTTTATTGACACCTTTACAGATGCATAAAGTTCAGGTCTTTTAGAAGTATGAGCCTCACATTCAACTCCTGGCAGTGATTTCTTCAAAAATGTCTTCAGATCTTCGGGCTTAGTATCTGGTTTGAGCCTGATTACGTGAAGTGATACAAGTCGTGGGACTGTTTCCACTTCGCACTCTTCTTCAGTATGACCTACCAGATATCTCAGTTTCCTTTTTTGTGTTACTTGGGTCCAGTTTCCATTTTAATTGGTTTCAGTGATTTCAGTGGTTTCTGTGTCAGCTTGATTTAGTCTCTTTACCGCATTTGAAATATTTTCAGCTGTTTTCATAGCATCACTAACTTGCTCTACAGAAATTTGGTTCTCTTCAACTCTTTCATTTTCTTTTTTATTCATCTTGTTAACAACCAATTTATGTTTGTGGGTTGGACGAGTAGACACTTCCGATTCGACAACAGTATCCGCCTTGGTTGCAAAAACAGTAGGTGAATTAGTCGTATTTTGTATAGGAGGAGATTCCTATTTTTGTTGCAGTTTCTCTTGAAGACTGATAAGTTTTTCTTGTAGTTCACATACGATAAAGTTTATGTTTAACAATACCCGTGGGTTGGGCTACCTATCGGGCGCGTCCCCAGGTGGCGGATAGGGGAACGGCCAGGGGACTGGAGGTTCTATCCGGGAAGCCAATGGGGCCTAACAGACGGGGTTGACGGACTCCTGGTCAGTGGCAGAAATAAGTAGGGTGAGGGGAACTAAAACCCCCCAAAAGCCCTGCAAAACATGCCACCGCGGACCAGCCTACCCAAGCTAAGATGTAAGGAATCGTGTCGACAGCTGAATGGCCGCAGGGATATATGCGGTTACGAACGATCCCCTTGAGGAACTGGGCGAAACCTCATTGTAACTAGCCTTCCTCTGGTAATGCGGGGCTCTGCTAGAGGTGACCAACAGTGGCCTAAGTGCGTGGGCTTACACTCACCCTCCCTACTCTACAGATACAGAGATACAGATGTTTAACAATAATTTTAAGATACGTGATTTCCTTTTCCATTTGATTTT